AAAATACTGTAGACCAGGATGGCTAGAGATCCCAATTCAGACCTTAAATAGACAATTTCACTTTTCATTAGAACAATCTTGCATTGAGAAAGATTGCTACAGAGACCCAAAAGCCCTGGTTTTGACATCAACTGCTACATAAATGTAAGGCCTCCTTTGACAGTCACATCTCTTTTTAACTTACACAAAATGTGCATTTCAGTTCCATTTTCAATAGGTAAATCCAAACAAATCCAAAACAGGAGGGAAGTAGGGAGTGTATATTCAAACACCACAGTGCAAGCAAATGTGAAAAGTTGCACTGTACAAAAAAAAGAATACAAAATATGTCTGAGAATCTGTGTCTATCTTCAAGCTGAACTGGAAACCACCAAAACCCGTGAGTCCCCCCCTTCGTATTTGTACGGTCACTAAACTTGCCAAAAACATTGATGATTAATGGAAAGACCTTTGAAAGCACAAATTTCTAAAGATACCAGACTAAAGCATCTTCATTTCATGTTTATATTCTTTATATCTTTTACTTAAAAGTGTGCATTTATGCAACTCTACCCAGAGTTTGTTGTGGCCCCAGCAGAGCAGCTGCACCACCAGTCCTGTTTGTCCCATCTGCAGTGTCCCCACTGCCCCCAGGAGTGCCCCCCTGGCCTCCAGATGCTCCTCCTGCCTCTGCACACTCAGGGTTCATTCTCACCCCTCCATGCAAACACACCCATAGTGAATCCATCTCCCATTTCGGGCACGAGGGGCCCTTACAGTGCACATAACCTGGGCCCCAGCACTGCCAGTGCTCTGGAGGAGCTCTGTTTGCAGCAGGGACGCTGCACACCTGCCCCTAGAGCGTGTCTGAACAGCAGCCACAGAGGAGGTGCCATTATCAGGTCCCCCAGAGCGGTCAGACACAATCAGCTGTGACACACACTGTGTCCTGGCACACCCCGGCTCCATGGGCCTGCCTGGAGGGTGAGTGCTCTGCTCACTCCCTACTGAGTGCTCTGCTCACTCCCTACTCACACCCTGAGCACCCCCTGTAGCTCCCTCGGGGTGGTGCCTCCGGGGCAGAGTTGGGAACTTGGCCCAAATGCTCCATTTTCTCCCTAATTCTGCCACTCTGAAGGAACTTCCTCAGGCTTTGCTCTTTTAGCAGCCTCATGGCACAAATCTTTGCCTCTCAACAGGGGCACAAGAGCTCTAATGAAACACAGCAGGCTGTGTCTTTTCTTCAGAAAAATTTCATTTTGGGTTTGGTTTTTACCCTCATTCCTCCTCCTCCTCTGCAAATTCTCTTCCCTCTGGAACTCTCCATTTATTACTATTTACCTGGTAGCAAAAATGATTACCTGAACAAGCACAGAATCTAAAAGTACAATGAGATGAAATTAAATCGAGATATTTTATGGTGAATTAAATAGAATTTTACCAATTCCTTCTGAAAGAAACTCAGAGATGTTCTAAGGCATTTTTTCTCCAGTGAGAAACAACAAACAAACCCAAACACCTCCTATCTGCTGAGTGGTGCCATTTAACTCACCACAAACACAGAAAATAACAGAAATTCCCCAAATGGGTACAGCTGGTATCAGGCAGAACTTCCAATGGCCTTTAAGATTCACACATCTGCAATGACCTGGTTTCTGTTACAGCATCACAGGAAGTATTTGGTTTCTGGCCCCATGTTGTAGGAGGAAAAAGAAAGATTCAGCATTAGCACCACCCTCTCAAAGCACATTTCCCACCTGGGCTTCACCTTTGCATTTGCCCCCCCAAGAAAATCCAGGAAATGTAAAATCTTATTAATTAGCTGCATTTCTGAGTGCCTGTAACGAAAGCAAATAAACCAGTTAGATTTAATCTGAAGGGAATGTCCACAGAGATGGTGGTTAAACTCACCATAAAACAAGGGTGTTCTGGGAAACTGAGTGTCTTGATGGTAAAGATCTCAACATTACTTCCGAATATTACTTTAATACTCATCATGGACACACTGAGGGATTTAACTGCCAATTTCCATTTTAGTACATAACTTTGTTGTGGCAAGAGGTTTTGAGTCTATAATTCAATAATCTCAAGAATATAAAAACCTCCACATCCCATCAATCAAAAGCAGGTTTGTGGAAAGTATGGGCTTGGGGAGGATTAATGATCTGTATGAGAAGAAAGGCTGGGATATGGAATGTGGATATTTAGCTTTCGCCTCTCCAACTCATTTCGGGAGTTGGGAATTTCTCCAAAGGTGGATGGATCCCTACCGTCCGGCAGGCGCTGAGGTCCCACCGCGGTGACAAACACTAGATGGCATCAGAGCCCTGTGCCCAGGCTGGCCCTGCTCCATGGCTGCCCTGCCTGGTGCTCACACCTCCTGCAGGACTGGGCAGCAGCACCTGAACCCCAGGAACTGCCCTCGGGGCTCCCAGCTTAGCAGGCACTGCTCTGATGGAGCTCAGGAATGCGAATTTGAGGGCTGGGGAGGGCGACAGAGAAGCGAGGCTGTTTGCTCAAAGCCAAATACAACAGCTACTGAGAAATACAAACTTGGGGAGAAAAAAAATCACTGCATTCAAGACAGCAGAGATTGCTGGTGTTGCAGGGGTTGTTGGCCCTTTAAATTGTTCCAGTTGTTACATACAGTTCTGAATTTGTTTGGGCTTGGGTTTTTTGCTTTTGTGTGTTTCTTAAATCTGTCCAGGTTACCCAAGGGTGTGCCAGGCACCATTTAGCAAACCTTCTTCTACCCAGGGTACTCTTCAAAGCTTTACATTTGCTTCAGTGAACTGGATAAGTTAAAAAAGTATCTGCAACCTTTTTAGAATCCCTGTTAGCTCCCCACAGCCCACTGGGGCTGTGGGAAGTTACAACACACTGGCATTTAGGTTAGCTTCCAAAAAATAGCACTGTTAAGTAAGCATTCCACAACCATGGATTTAAGTGCACCAGTAAGGCAGCTCAGATTAAAGCTTTAACAAGCATCAGTCACACCATCACACCAGCTGAATTCCACAAGTCTTAAGACACAGTGAAATCTATTTCAGTTCCACTGATGGGCAGGGAAAAAAAAAACCCAAAGAACAAAGGTAGACTCAGAAGGCCAAACACATGCACAAATGCACTTGGCCTTGTGATGAACAATCTCTCCTTGTTAGCTCTTCAATGATACTCTGAAATTGTGCCTAGCCAGTGTGGTATTCAAAGCAGACAACTGATGTTGTTTGTGGCTTGTCTCAGAAGTCCAGTTCTGTATTTTGCAACACAATGGAGTGTGGAGAAAAATCCAGAAAAAAAAAGGCCCATTTTTGAGTCAGTATTCTCATCTATTTAGCTTTAAGCAAATGTTCCTCTGGGAAGAAAATTTTTTGCTTTACGCCAAACAAGCCAGCCTGTCAGAAATGCAAAGTGCAGCTGCTCTCCAGAGTGAGCACAACAATAGTGAGGGGCTGCAGCTCCCAGCACACTGCCAGAGCTGGGCCCTGTCCCTGCACTGGCCATGGTGGCAGAGCAATGGCACTGCTCAAACCCTCTCTGCTCTGGCACCTGGCTCTGTGCAGCTCCTGGGGCAGCTCCCACAGATGGGACAGCAGCAGCTGTGTCACCTCAGAGCCACAGGGAGGGGCTGCCACCCCCAGCCTGCTGTGTCTACGCCATGACTAAAGACCCTTCCAAAGGGCTCCCTTTAAAACAACTAACACAAATTCTTTTCTATTAAGTGCAGTGTTTTGCTTTGGCTTGTTTTTAAAGTAGTCTGAGCTCCAAGCAATTAACCCCTTGACATGAAGCCCAAGACATACAGCTGCTCTCTGGACAGTTCTGTCTGCTGGAAGCCTGAGGAGCCTTCACAGAACACACAGACACACCAAGAGTTTTAACAGTGCAGATTATCAATGAAGGAAAAAGCAAAACTCTCTCCTTTCTGCCTTACCTGTAGATAGAGAGGAGGAGAGACAGAAGACATGACAAAGGTAAATGTAAAAAAATACATTTTCTACCTTATTTTCCAAATTAATTTCAATGGCACCAACACTGATGTTCACTTCGACATGCACCTGCTGTTCCCTTCCAACTCAGGGTATTCTGTAATCCTATTTTATGAGCTGTAGGCTGCAGCTACTGCATAAATACAGTACTGCTGCTGAGTCAAACTAGCTCCTGCTTTTCTATTTAGAGCACTGTGCTTTCTGCAGTAGGTGTTTTTTTGGTGTGATTGCTTCTGGTCAAAGCTTAAGTAGCAGCAGAGTGCTGCAATATCAAAAAGCAAAGTACTCCTCTAGTCTACAAAAAGCTGGGAATTCGTGAGGTGTTCAGTTTAGAGAAAAGGTTACAACTTCCTGCTACTATAACTGCACATTACTGTAAGAAAAATTAACTACACTGAAGTGGAAGTCGACCTGAAAAGATAAACAGAGATTAATACCTGTGCTGTACAGAAACCAGTTTTAGTGTTTGCAGAACACTCAACTTCTTAATGACCACTTTTTCAGTAACCTGCATACTAAGCTCCCTCATGTTCACCCTTTGTTTAAACCACAGGCTGGACACGCACAGACTCTTTTCCAGATTCCAGGCACATACAGGAGCAGCAGGGGTATTTTCCTGAGTTTTACACTCTGGTGTCTGAACTGTTAATGAAAAGGAAGAAATGCCTCTTCAAATCATGTGCACAAGCATCCCAGATGCAGAGTTTGGGAGGCCACCCCGTGCCCAGCCTGGGGACAGCCATGGAGGGGCCTGCAGTGGGCAGTCACCTATTCCTGCATCCACAGACCATGAGCTGCAGAGCTGGAGGAGAAACCTGGAGATGCTGAGTCCATCCCTGATAAACAGAAAAAAGGTACTAAAGCAGTCAGAATGTGAAAAAGGTACAAGTGCAGGCAGTGACATTTTCTGTTACCCTTGGCCTACAGAGAAGTTTACAGAAAGTGATTTAAAAAGAATAAGTCAAGGCATGCTTAAGTTTAGCTAAAGAATTATGCAGATGAGCAAACTGCAAGACAGCATACACAGATTACCTGAAGACTTATTCAGCTTTGCTGAAAATACAGCAGTAGGTTTTTTCTTTTCTTTAACAGAAGCAGCTTCTTTCTCAGCTTCCTTCTCAAAAGCTCCTGGTTTTACTACACTGACTATCTCTTTTTCAGCAGATAAAGGTGAGGTATCTGTGGCTGGTAAGGACATGGTGGATACTTCAGGCACTTCTCTGTCCACAGCCTCCAAAGACTTTTTCAAGGCATTGCTATCTTCCTCAGCTTTTACTTCTACATTCTTCACAGAGAGATCACAGGGCAGCTCTGGGCAAGGCAGCAGCTTCTCACCCTGCATCACCTTACTGATGTCTTCACCTTCATCTTTGTGCATTGTTTCTCGGTCAGTGGCCTCTGTCTCAAACTCAGGAACAGCTTTAGGATGAGCTAACATCACAAAGTCTTCTTCCACTGAGACTGGGGAAGACTCCATGGGTGAGAGAGCTTTGTCATCTCCTGTTTTTGGTTCCATAGCAACAGATACATCAGCTGAATAAGCCAAAGCATCCAGCTCTTCCATTTGAAGAGGAATCTTATCTGCCTTGGCTATTTTTGCAGGTATTGGCTCAGATGGTGGAGCAGCAACAATTCTGGAAGAGTCCAGCTCGGGTTGGAATGACTCTAGATAAGGCTTGCCCGTGGCAGCTACTGAATCCACCAGTCCTTCCTCCTCCTGTTCCTCATCAGTTTCAATACTCTCAGTGGATTTACTTTTTAAAAGGAGAGATGGATCTTCACTTGCTTCCTCAGCAAAGTCAGATATCATTTGGCTATTAAACAGGCCAGCTTTTCCAAACTGTGGAGATGGGGTTCCATCTAGTTCCTTGTCTTCAGGCACATCCTGAGAAATGCTTTCTGTTACCGGTGTCTTGGAATACTCTGTGAAAGATGGAGAAGGAGATTCACCAGAGACCTTTGTTCCCTTAATTAAGTCACATGCAATAGATATATAAGGAGTCTCCAGATCTTCAGGAGTGCTGCTGCTCTCATCATCAGGTTGCTTAAATGCCAAGGTCTCCTTTGCTTCCTGGGCCTGTGTCAGTGGCACCTTCACTGCCTCTTGGTATACAGGAGGTTTCTCAGCCTCTTTTACATTCTCATACTTGGCAGTGGGCATGAATGTTTCTAGTGGGGAAGCTTCCAGCTGCACAGCAGATGCCTCTGCCGCAGCAGTGCCGGTGCCCAGCGGTGCTTCCATAACAATATCAGGCAGTATGGGCGATGGAGCGGCCTCTGAGCCTTCGAAGGAGGGGCAGATTTGTGCCGCAGGTTTCAGAGTCTCCTGCGCTGCCTCTGAGGTTTGCACCAAGTCAATCTTGGTTTCATAAGCCAGCTTTGTGCAGGCTGCATCGTGCATCTCGTAGGCCTCCTGCACCAGGTCAGGAGTGAGACCCTCGGGCATGTTTGTGGCGCTGTCGGGTGACGCTGGTGGGACCCCCTGTGCTTTGGCAGGCTCAGCTCCCTGCCCTTCCTGCCCACCTGCTCCAGCAGCAAAATCACCTTGCTCTGGGCCCGTCTGAGCTTTCAGCTCTGCAATTTTTTTCTCATCGTCGGTTCTATTTTCTGAAATGCCTTCCTCTAGTGGAGAAAGAGATTTGCCTTTGTTACCACCAGGACTTGGAGAAGAGTCAAATTTAGTACAAGTGATGTAAGGTTCTTTTACAGCTTCTGGGGTGCTTGGGAAGGAGGGCTCTTCAGCACTGCCTTCACTGTCTCTTTCATAATCCTTCTGCACAGTCAGCTTACCCACGCCATACTTGTCATCCAAACTGCTCTCCAGCGTGGCATCTATCTTCTTTCCAACATCCTCTCTCATGCTGCTCAGTCCATGACTAGCACCTTTGACTTCCCATATTGGCTCATAAGGTTTGAAGTCTGCATATTCTTCCCTCTTAAGAGGGTCTTCTTTCAGCAGCCCCTTTTCAGCATGATCACCACCTCCTCTGTACTTGTCTTTGTTATAGAAGAGATCTTCCTCATTTCTTTCAAATATATCTTGGGGAGATTCTGGAGACATTTTCAGCTGCTCTGCAGGTGTTTTCTCCAGGTTAGGTAATTCTTCAGGGCCCTCTAGCTGTGCTTTTTCTTTAGCTGGAGATAAAATGGCTGCTGCTTCTTTAGCAAATGGGGATTGCGAGTATTTCATCTCAGAAATGTCTTTATCATTTCCCTCTGCAAGAAAGGGGTTTGTGGCATTTTTCACAGGTTCTTTATAAACCTCACTGGAGCTCTCTTTGTAAGTGCCTGTTGCAGGGAACCCATCTGAGATGGTGCCAAAGGCTGCGTGCTCTTTAAAGGGATCAGCTGAGAGAGGAGAGAAGGAGGGAAGAGAAGGAGCAGGATCACGCGGGACTGCAGTGAAATCCTCTTGCCCCAGCGCCTTAGTGCTACCTGGCTGCTCCTGCAAGTCCATAACTCTTTCTGTGACCGTGGATAGAAAGGAAAGTTAGAGAATGCAAGTGCTCTCAAAGTCAGTGCAAACTTTCAACAGGTTCACATGATTTTAGCTACTAAAAGGCTCCTTCAAGCTCTACGTGGACACTATGAGCCATTAATACACACTATCACTTAAAGCTACTCCACTTCTAGCAGAGAGACTCAAGAAGCAGCAACTTTATGCAGTGCAAAGGTCTCAGTAAAGCTGAAGATGCCAGACAAGTACAGGGGCAATATTAACAAAGCCAGAACAGGAGGGTGGCAAGGGCAGACAGAGACAGGGGGTGTGTGGATGCTTGGGCATAAACATATTGCACAAACGTGTGCCAGCAAAGTCTTTTTTTGACACCTTTTTTAAAATTTGTGGATGGTATACTTAATAAAAACCACTAAATCAATACTACAGGTGCAAATTTTACTTCTTTAAAATACTGCAGAAAGTTACTATAGATTAAATCTTTCTGCTAAATCAGTAAAGCAACTACGCTCTGATGTATTAACCTGTTAACAGTACCAACTTCTCTCCTACATCAAGGGTCCAAGAATTCACAGATGGCTGAATTCTTGTTTATGAAACAGTTTACCACATAAACAAATGAATGAATATTAAAATCTGAAATAGATCAACCAAAAAGTCCAAACTGAAAAATGTGACAGAGGCTATTCTTGGACCCATGCTGACTTTTAGTAGAAGCAGACTAGTGGGAAAGGGTTAATGAGGTCAGGAAGGCAGGAGGTACTCAGACAAAGGGGAGCAGAAAGAACTTGCCTGCAGAGGAGTGCATCAGAGGCGCAGGTGTAGCAGGAAGAGCAAAAAGGGTCTCATCTGAAAAACAAACAAATAACCTCAGCAGAAGGAATGCCAGGGTGAAGAGGGGAGAAAGCACCCAGGGAGTGAGTTCCCAGCAAACCCAACAGATCAGCAGCCAACACCCAAGAGAACCAGGGAGCACCATCAGCAGAGCCAGGTGACTTGGGAGAGCCCACACCCAGATTTCCCCATTCACAATGGGATCCTTACTGAGGGATCTCCACCCTCCAAGCCAGTGACCAAGCACAGGGTGAGACACTCCTTGGCAGCTACTCTTATTTCCATTCCCTGGCACAGCACTGGGCACTGCCAGCTGCCAGGGGCACACTCACTCAGCTCTCCCCACACCCCCACACTTGTGTGAGAGCAGCCCCAACAAACTCCACCAGACACTGGTGAAAGGTCAGTGACTAAAGCAAGCTCTGAAACACCCCACAAACACAGCACTGCTCAGGCACAGCCATCCTGGGCCATGCCTGCTTTATGGCCTCACTCTTTTCCTTTTGGTGTTATACAGACCTTTAGAGGAAGCTGTTATTTTAAAGCCTTTTTTGGCATGATTCAAAGAGTGTATTTGGCTTTGCTGAGTTCGCTTTAAGCCCAGTATCTCCCAAGACAAAGCCAGTTCTCCAATTTCCACTCAAGGCTGCAGTATCAGCCATCATGAGGAAACAGGCAAAGCAAAACCATCCCTTCTCTGAATTTCTGTGCCACCAGTGTTTTTCCCAGGTCCATCATGCTGTCATGTCCTGTTGGCCTTAAATTGATGTGAGAACACCATCACTTAGGCAAATTTATTTCATTCTGAAAAGTGCATAAAGTTTTCACATTGAGGCTGGGAAAGAATATTTGCAATTTACATCAATTGCATTAGTGGAGCAAAAAATTATATTAAAGCACTTAGATTTTTATCCTCAGTACAGACACCAACAATCTTTAATTTTGCTATGTGCCTGGACAAAATCAAGTACTGAAAAAGAGGTGGGGATATTTTTGGCTTGGTTTTTTTTATTATTATTAAAAGCAAAGAATAATAGAAAGAGTTTATTTTAAAAGATGAAAGGCAAGAGGTGAGAAATATGGTAGCTGCAGCAGCACATACATAATAACCAGTCAGGCAGGGCATTAAGCTAAGCTGTGTTTTGGCACTAAACCATGACTTGTGCAGAAGTGATGCCACTTGCAGACATTCATGACCTGTCTGGCTCATTCAAGTTAATCCCAACAGCAATGGTCCAAAAATCCAGTCTCCTCACAACCTGCATTTTCTGTACACTATGCAGTCATTGGGTTTTTTCACAGAACATTTATCTCTTGCTGTATTTTGTGGATTATAAATATCACCAGAAGACAACAGAAAACAGAGGAAGAAATCAAGCTGAGTGTAGGCCTTGGTATTCAGAAGGGTCCTCAATTCCTGCTGGGCCAAAGGCATTTCTACTCACTTTTCTAAAAATTACATTTTTCGATTAAGGACCATATAGAGAGAAACCTCAATTCCAAATTTAGAGCCCATTAAAGCAGTGTCACAGCTCAATGGTGGCAAAGCTTTAAAGGACAAAAAGCTCACTGGAGGACAACTGCTGGGGACGTGACACAGAGCCACAGCCCTGCTACACCCAGTGCCCCTCACTGCAGGCCCTTTGTTCCAGCAGCTCTCGGCTCCCTGGCTCACCAGGATCCTTTCCATGAGCAGAGACTGCTCCTCAGCCCTCAGCTTTGCTGAAACCACACTCGGCCTCCTGCACATCATCCCAGCTGTACTGGAAGGGGTCTGTGCTTTGGGGCAGCAGAAAAAGCAGATTGGACCTGATGGGACCAGATTGTGACCAGAAACCCAGGCAGGCCAACAGAAAAGGGACTTCCAAGGAAACCAACACCAAGGCAGTGGAGAGGAGGTGCTGGAAATGCAGGAGGAAGGGCAAACAAACATAGCAGAGTCCACTGAGGGGCAAGGAGGTGAAGGGGAAAACACACAAGTCATCCCTGAAAGGTGCTGCTCCCTTCCTGTCCAAAGGCCAGCTGCAATCTCTACCAAAAATTCCACATTTAAAAACTTTTGAACACTTTCCCAAGACAGAGGTTTCAGTTTCTGGGGAAGGGCACTGGGTTTAAGAGCAGGGGCTCTCATTTTTCAGTGTTTTCTTAAGACAGCACAAGGCAAAAATTCCTCCTGAGGTGTGGCTTCCATTTACCCAACACAGTCCCATAAAATTCCTATGCCAGCCACTGAATTCCCAGGTTCTCTTAATGGCAAGATATTATGTCCACACCCAAACTTTATTTTCCACACATGGCTGGAGTGTGAAAAGAGATTACATAAAAGCAGTGTTTCCTAACCAGCCAAGGAGAACCACCCACCCTCCCTCCACCCACATCACAAAGGCATTTTTCCTGCTTAAAGGAAAAAGATAGAAGGGATCTTTGCTGCCCTTGTGGGGCCTGTGTGACACCTCCAGGCAAGCAGGGAAAATGGAGCAGGACAAGTCCCCCTCAGGCTCGGTGCTGACTGAAGCACAGCTCTCTGCAGAGGGCAATTGAAGTGACACGGTGAAAGGGACTGTTCCCAGCAGTGACACTGCTGGAGCATCCCCACCTCCCATGTGCAGGTAGAAACCTCTCAGAACACAGCTCTGTGGGTAAGTAGGACACTTCTAGGATCCATCACCAGCCGTGGCTTCTCCTATTTGCATCTCAATGGCAGAAATTAGGTGACAAAAAAAAACCAAACACACCCAAACAAGCAACACAACAGAACCAAGTAAAAAAACTTCTGAACACATCAAGCTCTGAGCAACAATATTGTCAAGCAGAAGCAGATATTCAAAACACCTTAACTGACACACAAAGTGAGTTTCACTACAAAAAACTTCACCCAAATACATACAGAAAAAAATCTAAGTGATCTTACAAATCATAACTTTTTACAAATCCTAACTAAAACTCCTTCAGTAAGATGAACTGCTCAGTTACCACTTCCAGCAGAAGACAGATTTTGTTACATGAAACACAGAAGAATGAGACCTCAGAATGAACACAATCCCCATGAAAAGAGTTCTTACTCGAAGTTTTTCAGCCAAAAATTCATAATGGTGCAAGTTAGTAAAGTGCTTTCAGCATTGCAGCCAAGAGAGAGGCTGACCTCTTATGAGTGGTGCCACTTTATATGAGTTACTGAAGCACTCCAACTGATGGCTCTTAAAGAGAACTTTAGAGACTCAGCCTGACTGCTTGCCTTGGTTTTAACCAGAAACATTCTGTAAATTTTACCTTGGATTTATGCAAATTAAATATTCCCTAAAAAAACCCCAAAACCAGAAAACAAATCACCCACAAATAGCCCTGTTGCTTCTTTCATTAGCATGAAGTGTCGTATTTTAAAACTGCATTATGATTTCAGCTAAAACACAACGTCCTTCAATAAGAATCAGATTTCAGTGTTGTTTAAAAATAAAGAACCTGACACCAGCGTGACAAAGACATGCAATTTTAAACCCTCATTTTCATTTTTGCTGATTTCCCACTAACTGCTGATGCTGTTTCAAGATGCTGACATTACCAGCACAAAACTTAACATTTAAATACCAAAATCTCAGATAAAAAGTAGAGAAATAAATGGAGATTTCTCACACAACTAACAAATTCAAAGTTATGTGCAAATATGTCCAGAGAAAAAATGTTTAAAATTAAGTAAGTAAACTGACAAATCCAAGAAAAGCAATTTATGAGAAAAGAGCCTTTTTCCTTCTCAAGAAACATACTTGCCAAAGGAAAGCAGAGGAGTTCAGAGAGAAAATAAGGAGTGAGGCAGAACAATTCCTGTCCCTCCTCACTGGATTTGTGTAAGGGAAGGACCCTTCCCTGTGCTCCAGGTGCCTCCTTCCAAGCAGCACTGTGCTCACACAGCTTCATTGTTCTGCTGCATTTGTGTGTGAGCTCAGCACTGGAACAGCCAGAAGCCACAGGAACAGTGAGCCAGCCTCACCTGCTGCCCAGCTCAGCCTGGCCAGGAGCCTGCAGGAGGCTGCTCGCTGGCACTTTCAGCCTCCACAGCTCCAAAAGCACTTCCTGGAGTAGATTGCTGGAAAATGCCTGCTAGCCTTAAAACAAAATGAGCAAAAATGGAGTCTGAGAATCCATTTCACCTTTGCAAGCCTAGGAAATGAGTAAGACATCAAACTAACAGGCTAGGGACTGCTTTTACCTTCCAGACCTCCCACAGTGGGACGTTGTGAAAGGCCTCTCCTGTTAACATAAATATTTAACAATAAAGGAAAACAGGGGGAAATTAATACTCTGAGGAATGGCATCTGTCACATGACTCACAAGTCGTGGAAAAGTTCCATTTGCAGCAAGCCCTCCAGGGCAGATATGAAAGAGAAATTGTTCCTTCAATGCAAACCAAGTTGCTCATGTGCCCACAGTGGAGGCTGCCCCAGCAGCATTTCTAGCTCAAGCTGTTTAGCAACACATGTGGCCATTTAAAAGTTAATTATTTCAAGTTCTCAGATGCCTAATTTCCTACTGCAGCACAAAACAAGGGCACACAACTTCACAAGAATTTCCTGAGAAAAGTAGCTGCCTACACAAACTCCATTTAAATCATCTCCTGTTATGATGTGATTGTTCTAAATACGGGATTTCACCAAATATTTAAACCATTCAAGATGAAGAACATTAACTATTAATAGCAACTTTTCACATCATTAGATCAGGCTGCAGAGTCACAGCAAATCATTAGCTTTGCTCATTTGGCTCTTTTTAGTTCCAGGTCTAAGTTTTTAAAGAAAAGTTTCCAGTTTAGGAAACTATTTGGAAATCTTGGGAGGAAAGTGTGCAAGCTGCTACAGAAAATGGGAGTTGTTGAAGGTTTAGAGGGGAAAATGGAGCTCCATTTTGGACACCCTGAGGGCATCACAGCTGGGATCACAAAAGGAAGCAGAGCTTTGATCATTAACAAACGCAGCTGTAGGTCATTCCAGCCCTGCATGGCAATTACTGCAAAGTGGAATCATGCAGCACCTGCAGGGAGAGTTGGGCTGCACC